TGTGCTGCAGACACTGGTACCTGTCACTCCCAGCCCCTTTGGGGTGGCAGAGTTGGTTCCATCTTTACTGTGATACCTTTACATCTCCCTGTGAGGTGCTGAGGCACTGGCACAGGTTGCCCAGAGCAGCTGTGGCTGCCTAATCCCTGGGAGTGTTCCAGTCCAGGTTGGATGGGGCTTGGAGCAACCTGGGCTGGTGCAAGGTGTCCCTGCTCGTGAGATGAGCTTTAAGGTCCCTCCCAACCCAAACCATCCTGTGATTCTATGACTCTGTGGCACAGCTGTCACCACTGTCCCATCACACTCTGCCAGGGTGTCCCATGCTCAGTTCCTGCCACTCTCCACGTGCTGGGGGCTGTCTGTGGCCTCCAGGATTTTTCAGTGTTTCCTCCCTGTGGCAGCTCTGTCCACCTCCGTGGAAGGGGATGTAGGTCACTGTCTGACATACAAGAGAAGTGAACTTGTGGGTGACATACAGGGTCATGAAAAGAATTAAAAAAAGGTGAAGCTGCTCCATCCAAACACCAAATGGGGTAAAACCACACTATCTTGGTCTGAGTTTTCCCTTTTTAGGGATTTGCTTGTCACCCCATTGCAGGGAGCCAGGATCACTGCTCAGAGTGGCAGCAAAGTCCTTCCCAAGGGTCACCAAATTAATTTTACACTGAGTGCTTCGTTCTGTGAGCAGAGAGGAATTGCCCCAGAGTGTTTCTAGCATGCTCAGAGGCTGAGGCTTTTGTTTTAAGCCATATGGGGAGAGGCTCCTGGTGTTATCCATGCCAGGATGGAGCTGGTCATTCACCTCTCCTGGCTGCCTTGGCCCTGTAAGGATTTGTGCCTGAAGGCAGTGATGAACAGGATTCTTAGACAGCATTACTGACACCCTTTCTGAGCACAGGGCTGAGTGTGTCACCTGGATTTCTTCTCTCTCCTTTTTGGTTTGTTTTTTTCAGGAGACGAGTTAAACAGCCCCTGGAGATGGTGTAGGGTGAGACGTGCAGCACTGTTCCCTCTCAGTAATCCCTTCCTGCAAACCTCTAGCAGCAAAACTCCTGCCAGGAATCCGCCCCCATCCTTAGCCACTTATTGGGAAGTTCCAGTTCCTGAAGTCTCTGGTGTTCCTTAGATGTGTTTGTAGAGTGACTTTGTCCAGGACTTCCACCTTCAAAGCCACCCTGTGGTGTCCCTTCCTCCCCAAGTCCTGGCATCCCTGAGGCTTTTGTCTGCTAGCAAATGCTCTTGTTCAGTGTGAGTTAAAGGCCTGAGGAAGTTGTCTCTCTCCCTGCAGATCCTCTTGGATTGCTCCAAGAATCTCCCTCCTCTTTGAAGCTCGGTCCATGACCCCAAGGATTTACACTGTCCTCTTTCTCCCTCCTGCAAAAATTGTTGCTGATTCTCTGATGTTTCATAGGGACAAGGGCACATCTCTTCCCTCCATCCACCATCCTGCCCCCAGGACTAAATTCCACAGCTTTTCCTGCTCTGAGTGTGGTGAGGAGCTCGAGTGAGAGGTCTCATGTCTTTTCCCCCTGACCTTTTCCAGCTGTGAGCATGCACATATTGAGCAAAAGTAGCTCTGTCTTACAAAATGCAATAACCCAGTGGTCAGCCCCTTGCTCTAGATGTGATGTTTGGGATGATGCTGGAGTGGGAAAACCAGAGCCCACAAGTTTCATGCCTGGAAGGGAGGACAGCTGTGTGGACCGGGTGTAAGCCCACTGGAACATGTGCAGGAGAGCAGGAGAGAGCCTCCTCTTGGGCAGAGAGGCTGTTTAATGTGCTTGAGGGTTCAAGTTATTGTTTTTTCTCTAAGTGCACATGGTACACATGAGCATGAGAGAGTTGGCCTTGGTGTTTAATCCTTGAACACAGCCTCAATGCTGCTAAGTTGAAGTGAAACACTCAGGTTCTCCCAGGTGATTTTTATCTGTGGCAGTTCAATGAAATTGATGTGATCTCACAAAATGTTCTGCTTGGCTGAGCTTCTGTTTTCAGCTGTTTACTCTGACCTGGCTGCTGCTGTCCCCTCCCAGCAAAGCCCCAGTGTGGCAGTGCTGACAGCTGTGTGTGTGCACAGGTACCTGGTGACCCCTCTCAGCTCCCAGGAGCTCCTGGAGCAGCTGCAGCCCTGGGGAGGTGTCAGTCTGAGGGCAGGTTTCCTGTGAGGGCAGTCAGCATCCCCAGCACTGCTTTCCTGGAAGCTGGTGGATGGCAACAGAGCGAGTTAAAATCTGCAGCTGCTGATATGACCATCTCACATCTCGTTGCTGTAGGCAGCACTTCCTCCCACGTCAAAACAGCTCTGCCCTGAGACATTGCTTCCTTCTTCCCATCCTATTGCCCTGAACAGGTCCAGCCTGTCCTCCCTGCTGGCTCTGTTCAGGCACAGGTAGCCCAGGCTGAACCCTTTGCTTTGCAAGGCTGTGTGGTGTCTGTGCTCAGGGAGCAACAGAGATGCTCAAGGACAAGTGTCCCACAGGATTTCTCAGGCTGAGAGCTCCCAGGAGCACTGAAGAGGATTAACTGCAGACCAATATATGAGTTTCTGGCCAATACTTTATTTGCAAATGACACCAAGGGCCAGCCCTGCCTAAATAAGGCCCTTGCAGCAGGGCAGGCAGCAGCTGGGAAGGTTTCTTTGCTTTGTTTGTTCCCCTTTTTGAGAACCACCACTTCAAAAAAAAGTCCCAGACAGAGCAGCCTTTGCTCTCCACAACAGCAAACATCAGTTTTGCTTCCCCTGCAGAGCTGCAGCACCTCTTACTTCCCATTGATTTCAGGCTCCCTCCAGAGCAGGATCTGCTGCTCTGCAGAGATGTTGTCGCTCTGAGTAGGTCACATAGAATAACTTCATAAAATAGTTCAGGAGTGGGAAGTTCTCACGTTCCTGATGTGGCACCTAGTTGTTGGCTGTGCTGGAGGGGTCTGAGGTTGTCTTCATCCAGTGCTTCCTTGGCAGCTGCTAAAACCTCTGCCAAGACATCCCTTCAGCCTGGCACGGGCACCATTCCCACTTGGGAAGGGTATGGACATGACAGCAGCTGTCTCTCCTGGAGCAGCAGTTCTTCACACCATTGCCTTCCTGTTTATGAAACCCTGATCCTTTCCTCCCAGTGATCCTCCCTTCCCAGTGCCTGGTGGGATGTAACTGGATCCTGGCAGGAGGCAAAGACAACCCCTGGTTATTCTGATTTAAATCTATAGGACTAGCAAGTGCCTTGTTTTATGCAGCTGATGTTGGGAATTGCTGGAGGTTAGTCCTACAGAGAATTGGATTGCAGGATCTTTAAACTGCATTGGGAACCATTTGTGGGTGGCACCACTGGATTTGGGGAGCATCTTTCCTAGGACTGAGGTGGCAGTGACAGCAGGTTCACACAGTTTACAGCTGGGTCTTGGTGCTTCACTGCCAACATGTGTCCCACTGCCCCTGAGACAGTGACATCCCTTTTAGACAGTGACAGGGCAGAGGGAATGGCTTTAAACTGAAAGAGGAGAGATTTAAATACTGGGGAGGAATACCTCCCTATGAGGGTGACCCTGGTAGAGGTTTCCCAGAGAAGCTGTGGCTGCTCCATCCCTGGGAGTGTTCCAGGCCAGGCTGGACAGGGCTTGGAGTAACCTGGGCTAGTGGAAGGTGTCCCTGCCCATGGAATGAGATGAGCTTTCAGGTTCCTTTCAACTCCAACTTTTCTATGATTTTCTACTCTATCTCAGAGTCAATGCATGGTCATCTGCTGTGTCAGGTCCTTGGGACAGTGCTGCAGGGCCCCACAGGAGGTTTGCACACCACCATCTCGTGGGAGGGTTGCACAATCCTGTCTGTCTGCTCAGGGTCAGCTCCTGCACTGTGACACTGCACTGCACCCTGCACACCCAGGGATGCTTTGCTAGGCACAGAGATGGGAGCTGGGCACGTCAGGCAGTGCAGACATGAGGAGCAGAGAGGGAAGAAGAGTTTCAGCCCTGTGGTTCTGAATCAGCTCTCTCCCAGTTTCTATGTCTGCAGGGAAAAAAAGGGCAACCTGTGCTGGTGTTTTACTGCCCTCATTGTAAAAAAGCTTCTTATATCTCATGTAAATCTCCCCTCTCTTAGCATAAAACCATCATACTATTGGAACAGGCCCTGCTAAAAAGTCTGTCCCCATCTTTTTTGGAGCCCCTTTAGGCACTGGAAGGGGGTCTAAGGTCTCTCTGGAGCTTCTCTTCTTCAGGCTGAACACTCCCAGCTCTCCCAGCCTGGCTCCATGGCAGAGCTGCTCCAGCCCTTGGAGCATCTCCGTGTCCTCCTCTGGCCTAACTCCAGCAGGTTCATGTCCTTCCCATACTGATCCATAAGCTGCTGCCTTCTCCTGGCCCCCTCCCTGGAGAGCTGCAATTCCAGTGATCCTCCAGGAAGAACATCCATTCTGGAGTAGCATTTGTGCTGCTCAGAGCAGGGGCAGAGAAATTTTGAGGAAGAAAACTACAGAGACTCTCCATTTCTTATCGCTGCCTCATGTAGTGCCTGAAATTGCTCTTTCTGTGCCTGGTTTTTTTTTTCCCCTGTGTGTGACAGTGGGGACTGCACTGATCCTCTTGAAAAGCCAACTGAGATTTGCTGATGGATCTTTCCATGCCCAAACACCCGTAAAGCCCATCCAGTGTTCTCGTGTGGCTGCTGCATTGTGCAGCCATGGCCACACAATGCGATTTCCCCACACGAAACCGCCGTTTCCTTTCAGAGAAAACTCCCAAAATACATCCCAGTGACATAACAACGACACTGGGGGACAAGTGCAGCTCTGGGCGCTGCTCTGGGCACTGCTCTGGGCTCCAGGCTCAGGAATCAGTTTGGAAAGGATGGGAGAATAACAGCCTAAAGCTTTGGAGATGCTGAGGCTCCTCTTCCGCAGCAAGCCAAGGATCCAGGAGGCAAGTGACTGCTCAAATATCTGCTCTGCCTGCAGTGCTGTGCCCTGGGAATCACCTGGCCTTACCCAGGGTTAATTAGCTTCTCTTTTGGAAAAGGCATTTCTGAGGGTGCTTTCTACAAAGTGTCTTTTCCTAGGTGCTGCCAGATTTTGGGAATGTTTTGGGACCAGAGCATGTGTTGAAGCAACAGAAATTAAAACAGCTTCTGGTTAGTTGTTGATGAATAGGAAGGGAAATGCCAAGAGGAGAATCTGTTTCAAGCTTTTGCAGGGTGGGTTTTTTTTTTCCTTTTTTTTTTTTTTTTTTGCATTTCGATGTGACTTTCTCAAGCAGCAAAGTGACAAAACGCGAGCAAAAACAAACCTGTCTCTTGGCTTCTGCCTCATAAAATCCTTCCTCAAAAAAGAAAGGGGGAAAGTAGCAAAGAGGACTTGTGTTTTGAACTTGGTGTTGGTGGAAAAAAACCTGTTGGTGTGTCCCCAGCCCCAGCTCTGGGGTGACTCAGCCATCTGTGCCCTTTGAAGGTGGCACTGGGAAGTTCAGAAGAAGTTGTCTCCTCCTCTGACTTGCCCTGGCTGGTGGCTGGGGGTGTCCTTTTATTTTTCCAGCAAATATCATTTCCCAGCAGTGCAGGAATCAGTGTGAAGTGCCTCTTGGGAGGCTGTGGGTGTTGGGAGGTGGTTGGGAGCTCCCAGGAGCAGTGTGTGCAGGTGGGATGGACCTGCAGACAGATCTATGGGAACAAAATCAACCCATTCCCACCCCAGGCAGGGACTGGTGGCTGGTGTGACAGAGCCAGGAAGGAGCTGGTTAGCTGGTGGGTGGGTGGGATCCCAGGGCAGAGGTTTGCTGAGGTTTCACTCAGGAAGAGGTTCAGCTGTAGATGTGTCACCTGCCTGCCCTGGGCATCCGCTTCCCACGGCAGCAGCAGCACAGACACCTTCTCCCAGGCCCAGAATGATCCTGGCTACTCCCACAGCAAGGGCAGTGGAGAGGAGGAAGGGGAAAAGGTGACTCCAGGGGCCTCTCTGATTTGATTCAGTCCTTCTGGAGCTGAAAATCAATTAATTCCTAACTCTAATCTCACTGTTCTCATGCAGCATCTCCCTTCCCTCAAGGCATGATTTTCCTTCTCTTCTCCCTCTCCGTAGCTGCTTTCCCACTTCCAGGTCACCCTGTGCCTACCTGTTTGCCACTGACAGTGCTGTGGGCTCCATCCCTCTGACACACAGCCTGAAGAGACACAAGAGAAGTCACAGCTCGAGTCTCTCTTAGTGCCCTACAGTCACATGTTTTATCTCGTCCACAGCCACAGACTTGAACTTCTCAGAGGAAACACTTCAAATCTGACTTGAGTTTCTGGGGGGTGATTTTTTTCTGTCTATAAAAACCAGGGGAAAGATTATCTAGGTGTGATAGCAAATTTATATATGTTCATAATACACACCAGGCTTGGACTGAACCTGCAAAAAACTTACTCCTTCCCTCAAGTGTGATGTTTTGGGGGAGAAGGAGCCATTTCCTAGCTGAGAGGCAATTCTCTTCTGAGCTCCCTTCAAATCTTCAGGGACTTCAGGGTTCAGAGATTCACATCTGGCCCCAGAGGCAGCATAAACTGCCATTTCTGGTGCTGCTGGGGCCGTGTCAGAGCAGCTGGGCTGGCCCTGCCCTTGAGGGAGCTTTG